GGCTTGAACCCATGAACTGTGAGATCATGCCCTGAGCCGAAGTCAGAATAACGAACTGAACCACCCAGGCGCCCCCAATTCTTTTTTTAATGTTTATTTTTATTTTTGAGAGAGAGAGCATGAGCAAGGGAGGTGCAGAGAGAGAGAGGGTCAGAGGATCTGAAGCAGGCTCTAAGCTGTCATCACAGAGCCGGACACAGGGCTTGAACTCACAAACCGTGAGATCATGACCTCAGTCAAAGTCAGATGCTCAACTGACTTAAACTGGTTCTCAATTTAAATGAGGTTATTAAGTAACCACGTGACTGACTTTCTGAACGTAATATTAAGGAACTATGAGGAAAGGAAAAATAAAAATAGTAAAAACAATGAGTTCTTCCTGTTTTTGTAGCATGGGATTTTATAGCTGTTTTTATTACAAAGACAAAATTGCAATAAAGTCAAAAGGACTTATTAAATACATGTACATATATATTGCAAAAACATTTGCTTTTCTACCTCTGGTCCTAGTTATGCTCTTTAATGTACAGTATGTAGTTATATGCTTATTTCTTGTACTTGACTGTACCAAAAGAGCAAATATACCCATCCAATTTAAAGCATGAACATTAAGAGCTCACATTTCACATCAATCTTCCCATACTTTATTACATATAGAACTTACCTCATTAATATTCTAACAAACAGTCCCCCAAATAAAATATCCACAAGTATTTTAGAGAAACATAATTTTATATATTTGTTCTCCAAAAAATATCAATCTTTCACCTGCCCCTAAATTTATTCTACATTATTGAATAATCAGTTAATTCGGAGGTTACTCTGAACTATGTGCACTAAGATCGGGATCTCAGAAGGTTTTCATTTTTAATATAAAATGCACCAAGAACTGTCCATTTGTTGGTCAGCACCTGATACTAATGATGTCAAGTTCACAGGATGAACTGCTTACGAGTAGATCTGCTTTCGACTCAGCAAAACTGGGTTCTGCCATCTCAAACTCAGCCCAGCTCTCAGCCTGTCACGTCAGGCACTGCTCTCAAGGAAAAGACTAGAAGGAAAGTCTTGGCTCACTCGGCAGAAACACTATCCAAAGCATGAGCTCCCAGTGACCTCTCTGGAGACAGACAAATTTAATCCTGGGCAATCTCAAAATGGAGGTAAAAAACCCTGACTTTGAATACTTTCACACCATCACAAGAGATAACAGAATTTTAAAAATTCGTCATCGTAAAATATCAAGAGCTTAGAGCCTTTACCTCGACTCTCCTGGCAACCAAATTCTGAATCCATGAGCAAGCCTACAGACCCTACAGGGACACTCTCATCATTAAGTTAGAGTGTAAACAATGGCTATTTTCTGAAATGGAAGTTATACCCCTACCTTGCCGCTATTGCTGGAAGCCATCAGGTGCCAAAATGTGAAAGTGTTTACCACCATGGCATCTCAGAATACTCCTCTCCCGCTATTATATGGGGTCTTAGGAGAGAGAGAGACACAGAGGTGGTTGTTGTTTCGGTTGACAACTGGCAACAGCCTCTTGGCAGGACGACTGGAAAAGGACGACCTTGGAAAATTATGGCAAGTTGAAATTACTCTTCTAACAGACTGCTCTTCAGGAAAGCACAGTGCGCCGTCACCTGGAGCATATAATCCGCCTGACCAATCCCTAATTAGCGGGCATTTCTGTATTTGCCACACTTCTGATCTTACACAAGATTGTTCTGATGATAATCACTATGTTTGCATCTCTGACCATTTCCTTCTGACACATTCCCAGAAATAGAATTGGGATTCTAAAACAATGAACGTTTTTTCAAGTTATTTCTGTAGGATGCCACACTGAGTTCCAGACTGTTGGTGCCAACTCACACCCCAACCAGGGCTGTAGGCAGGGACTCAGCTTTCTGTGTGCACAGACCCTGTGTGCATAGACCTGTGTGTGCATAGACCTGTGGGTGCACAGACCCTGTGTGCATAGACCTGTGTGTGCATAGACCTTATGTGCATAGACCTGTGTGTGTGCAGACTCTGAGTACATAGACCTGCATGTGCATAGACCTGCATGTGCATAGACCTGTGTGTGCACAGACCTGTGGGTGCACAGACCTATGTGTGCACAGCCCCTGTGTGCATAGACCTGTGTGTGCATAGACCCTATGAGCATAGACCTGTGTGTGCAGACCCTGTGTGCACAGACCTGTGTGTGCATAGACCTGTGTGTGCACAGCTCCTGTGTGCACAAACCTGTGTGTGCATAGACCCTATGTGCATAGACCTGTGTGGGTGCAGACCCCGTGTACAGAGGCCTGTGTGTGCATAGACCTGTGTGTGAACAGACCTGTGTGTGCACAGATCCTATGTGCATAGACCTGTGTGTGTGCAGACCCCGTGTACATAGACCTACGTATGCATAGACCTGTGTGTGCACAGACCTGTGTGTGCACAGACCCTGTGTGCACAGACCTGTGTGTACACAGACCCTGTGTGCACAGACCCTGTGTGCATAGACCTGTGTGTGCATAGACCCTATGTGCATAGACCTGTGTGTGTGCAGACCCCATGTACTTAGACCTGCGTGTGCATAGACCTGTGTTTGCACAGACCTGTGTGTGCATAGACCTGTGTGTGCACAGACCTGTGTGTGTGCAGACCCCGTGTACATAGGCCTGTGTGTGCATAGACCTGTGTGTGCACAGGCCTCATGTGTGCACAGTCCTTATGTGCATAGACCGTGTGCATAGACATGTGTGTGCACAGACCGTGTGTGCACAGACCCTGTGTGCATAGACCTGTGTGTGCATAGACCCTGTGTGCATAGACCTGTGTGTGTGCAGACCCCATGTACATAGGCCTGTGTGTGCATAGACCTGTGTGTGCACAGACCTGTGTATGCACAGACCCTGTGTGCATAGACCTGTGTGCGCATAGATCTGTGTGTGCACAGACCCCATGTGTGCACAGTCCCTATGTGCATAGACCGTGCGCATAGACCTGTGTGTGCAGATTCTTACTTAGCTTTCTGGTCTTTGCTGTTAATTTCTAAAACAACTATAAATAATTCCAGTGTACTCAACTTCTAACAATGGGTCTCTTTTAATATATTTACAGGATAGTTGTATTTCCTTTAGTGAAATGACTCTCTTACTTGTTTCACTACTGAGAGAGGGTCATCTTTTTCATTCATTTCTATGAACACTGCATATTTGAGAAATATCAACACTTTGGAAGAGCCAGTGTAAGCATTATTCCTGGTTTATTATCTGCCTCTTAATTCTGCTCTTGTTTGATGCATAAATGTTCACTTTAATTTTTGTTGTAGTCAATAATAACAGGGTTTCCCTTTGTGTTTTCTCCCCCTATTTGTATAGCGGAAGGGATTCCACCACAGAATTAAGTCCTTTTTATGGCGTAACATGGAAAATGGGCATCACTGTTGTCTCTCAGTCTTGTATTTGTGCACCTAATTTTTAAAAAGAAGCTGTGTGTGAAATTTGAAATATATGCTCACCGAACGTGGTCTTATTTAAGGTCTGTGACCTCTGCCGCCCTACATCGGGAAGGTCACTGTAAGGTTAATGCCAAATTTTGATGAACGTAATGTTGGGAGTAAATAAAAATCAGTCTTGAGGAATAGCTATTCAAGCACC